ATATATAGCTATAGATACAGGTATCAATACAAAGCAGTACAGATAGAGATATATACACGATTTTTTTAAGAAAAACATCCTACCCTGGCTGGTGTTTGTTGTGTGGTCGGCAGTGGGAAGATGGTGTTCTCCACCCATCAATCCTTTCACTACTACCCAGGATGACTCTTCTGTGAATAATTGCTTCCAGCCACAGAAACCAGTCTCGAAGTCACACATGATGCAATTTGCTATTATACACGGAAAAGAAAATCAATAAAGTAAGATGCAGTGGAACATCATCACAGCATTAGTCAATAAAACTTAAGTGGCCAGAAAAATCGTCCCCCTTTTGAATGAATGCTTTCTAATGTTCCGAATAAGGAGTCCAGGTGACACAATGGTTAAACTCTGTGTTGTTGCCTAAAAGGTGACGGCAGTTTCAGTGCAACAGCTTTGTTTCTTCCAACCTTACCAAAATCTTCCACGTGCTGTGTGAGACTTGACCCTTCGGAAGGCTATTTAGATGTCTGGCACATATCATCCTAACTGATCTATTTTCTATTGTATTTAATGAAGCAAGGTGAAACTTTTTAGCTTTTCAGTGAGTAATTCACTTGCTGAATATATACTTGCTGAAATGGTAGCAGAGGCGGGGGAAGGAGCCATTTGATAGAGAAGACTAATTCCGGACTTCAGAAGAGCTATAGGTTAACATAGCAGTATTCATCCCATTTGGCTATTTTAGCAGTCTCTCCAAAGAAAATGCTTAGCCATTATGGAATTCCAGTTAAATTTGATATTTTGAGCTTTACTTCTTTTTCCTTACAACCTATTCTCTTAATGAATTAAAGAAGATAATACAAAAAAGTCAGTGAATACTTCAGTGCCTACATTCATGGCAAAAGAACACATTCTAAAGAAAATTAGGGTTCCACATACGTTACATATGCTACTTTTCCAGCTTTAGCACCAAGTTAGAGGGGAAAGGAGCAGGTTTCAGAGAACTGGGCAGTAACCTAGAAGTTCTGACAATTTAATTTTTGCCTCATGCCTAAATTAAGAATCATAGTGTCACTCTGTCTTAATAGTAGGTTTAAGGATGCATTTTTATTACAACTAATGTAAAAACATATTCCCAAACATCCTATTATAATACAGATACAATTTTATAACAGGAGGAATCAAAATGATTCTTGGTCAGAAAACACCCAACATTTGACAAGCTCCCTAAGATCATAATGTTATAATCTTTAATAATAATAGCAGCAAACATGTTCTACTGACCTCCAAGTATGTGACAGGTATTTTACTACTAGTCCTCACAAGTGTTGTTGTTGTTAAGTGCAGTAGAGTCAGTTTTGACTACCAGAGACCCTATATAGGGGTTTCTGAGGAGCCATTCAAACTAACCTTTCAGTCGACACATTAACCCACAGTGCCACACCAGAACTACAATCATCAAAAGTACTCTACATATAAATATAATGATGATCATTTTATAAAAGAAAAAAAAAAACGAAAATCAAAGCCCTAAGCAAATTATCTGTGGTAAGTATAGGACTTCTTAATGCATGGGACCTTTAACCATAAAGTCAGCAAGCAGTTCAATCCACTAGCTGCTCCTTGGAAACCCTATACAGGGTCTCTGTAAGTCAGACACAACCCGACGGTTAAGCCAACCTAAACCAGGGACTCATATCATAATTAGAAAGACTCCATCATCTTATGCTTGCTCTTAACAGTTATTTTCAATTTTGAATAATATGATGAATTTAGATCAACATATTTAATAAGCTCACTATATTTTAATACTTAAAGGATCTTAAAATCACTATAAACAAGGATGCCTGATCTCATGACCAGATATACCAGCTATCTTATCAATAATGTATCAATTCTTAAAATAATAAATTTCATTATGTGAATGGATACACTTCTTAAGTTTCCTATACATATAAATTCAATGTTTCAAATCTCAGTTATGCTTATTTAGATAGTAATTCAAAATTCAAAATTTAATAAACATTTTGATTTTTTTATACAAATACTATTTATCCCTTAAACAGATTCCCAAAGAAATAACAAAAAAACTATATTCTAATAATCAGAAATCCTTTACACATTATTAAGTACATACCAACATGACACAGAAGTGTCATTTTTCTAATACAACTAACAAAATCTAATGCTTCATTATATGTTTTTCGTTTCTCAGTTCTGGTTACTGAAAGTTAATTCTCGAGTTAAGAGTCTCTTCTCTTTTAGACCACTCTTTAACACTTAAATTCTAATTGTTGTTGTTGTTAGGTGCCATCAAGTTGGTACTGACTCAGGGCGAACCTATGCACAGCAGAACGAAACACTGCCCAATTCTGGGCCAACCTAACTATTGTTGCCAAGCTTCAGTCAATCGATGCTGCTACTTGGGAAACTCATCTCGTTGGGGGTGTTCCTCCCTTTCTTTGACCCTCCACCTTACCAAACATGATATCCTTCTCCAGTGACTGGTCCCTCCTGACACTATTTCTGAAGTATGAGAGACGAAGTTTGGCCATCTTGGCCTCCAAGGAGCACTCTGGTTGCATTTCTTTCAACACGGATCTGTTGGTTCTTTTTACAGCCCATGGCACTTTCAATATTCTCCTCCAACACCATAACTCAAATTTATCAATTCTTCTATGGTCTTCCTTATTTACTGTCCAGCTTTAGCATGCATAAGAGGTTATTGAAAATACCATGGCTTGGATCAAGTGCACCGTAGTCCTCAAGCTGACATATTTGCTCTTCAACACTTTCAAAAGGTCATGTGCAGCAGATTTGCCTAATGCAATATGTCATTTGATTTCTTGACTGCTGCTTCTGTGAGTGTTGACAGTTGATCCAAGAAGAATGAAATCCTTGACAATTTCAATCTTTTCTCCGTTGATAAGAATGTTGTTTATTAGACCAGTGGTGAGGATTTTTGTTTTCTTTAGATTGAGATGTAATCCATACCAAAGGTTATGCTCTTTGATCTTCATCAGTAAATGTTTTAAGTCCTCTTCACTTTCAGCAAGCAAGGTTGTATCATCTGCATATCACAGGTTGTTAATGAGTCTTCTTCCAATCCTGATGACATTTTTCTCTTCATAGAATCCAGCTTCTCGCTGATTGAATAAGTATGGTGAAAGAATATAACCCTTTCACACAATTTCCTTTATTATAAACCATTCAGTGTTCCCATGTTCTTTTCGAACAACTGCCTGTTGGTCCAGGTTCAGATTCTTCATGAGAACAATTAAGTGTTCTGGAATACTCATACTTTTCAACGTTGTCCGTAGCTTGTCATGATCCATACAACCGAAAGCCTTTGTGTAGTCAATAAAGCACAGGTAAACATCTTTCTGATATTTTCTGTTTTCAGCCAGGATCCGTAGGACATCAGCAATGATATCCCTCATTCCACAGCCTCTTCTGAATCTGGCTTGAACCTCTGAAAGTTCTCTGTCAATGAATGCTTGCAGCCATTTCTGTATTACCTTTAGTAAAACTTTACTCACTTGGGATAGCAAAGAGGTTGTCCAATGATTTCCGCATTCCGTTGGGTCACCTCTCTTTGGAATGCGCATAAATACAGCTCACTTCCAAT